GTCGATGGACATCTTGGCTCTTTCCACAGTTTGGCTATTGTGGACATTGCTGCTATAAACATCGGGGTGCAAGTACCCCTTCGGATCCCTACATTTGTATCTTTGGGGTAAATACCCAGTAGTGCAATTGCTCGATCGTATGGTAGCTCTATTTTCAACTTTTTGAGGAACCTCCATACTGTTTTCCAGAGTGGTTGCACCAACTTGCCCCATTCCCACCAACAGTGTAGGAGGGTTCCCCTTTCAGGGAGGAGGATTTTGTTTAATTCAAAGAAGAAGCCAAGTAGGAAGGCCACCACCAGGACATGTGAGTCAAAGTCAGTGTGCCTCTGGCAAGAAAGACCTATGGACTCTGGAGGGGCTCAGACCATAGAACTGAGAAGGTGAAGAGGCAGTTCCCCAGGATCCAGAGTGGGACTCCACTGGAACTCCCCCAGCATACCTGGGCCACCTGGATCCAGTGCTCCACTACCCTGGCCCTGTGCTGGGCAGTCATGCTCAGGTCCCCAAGGCAGGTGGTGAGGACGCAGCTGGTCACACTTTGGAAATGCGTGATGGCGGCACGGACTGTGGGTGCCAGGTGCTCATTGCCAGGCTTGTTCCTCTTGGACCAGGTGGAGCCCAGGCAATGACTGGGCACCACCTTCTTGAATAGCTCCTGGGGACCAAGGAGAGTGTCACCTGGCACTGCCACAGCCCAGCTCAGTGTCCACAGTCCCCCACAGGCCCAGGCAGGAGTCACTGGTCAGACCTGGAGCTCAGGAAGCTGAGGAAATGTCTGAGCCTTGTGGGGGTCCCCAGGATTTGTTCTCTGTCTACTGAGGGCATACAGCATGGGATGACTCAGGACCCAATACTGGTGGGGAAGGAAGGATTCATTTGCCTCCAGTCCATCCTCACTAACTCTAAGATTCCAGAAGGTGGCTCAAGTTGGTTCTTCCCAAGGGGGCATCTTTCACCCATCCTGATCACCCTCTGCTCTTTCTACTGAGATGCGTATTCTCCTGTGACAGCTACAACCATGGCCTTGTTTGTCCTTCTAATTAAGTACACATCAGGTGCCTAATAAGTGCTGAGGCTGCTGGGCCTCCTGGGCAGATGGGTGCCAACCCATGGACCTGGCTGCACACAGTGAGTGTTCCTTCCCCACCAACTGGGCTGGGCCCTACCCAGCTTTCTATCTGTTCTACCTCATTTAATCTGCACAGTCAATATCTTTGCAGCAGGTGCTATTGGTGTCCATCTCTACTGACTACGGTGGATAGCAAAGGCTCAGAGGCTAAGAAAGTTACCCAAGTCACACAAATGGCAAGTGGTGGGACTGGGATTTGGACCCAGATCATAAGAGTCCAGATCAGGAAAAGGCAGGTCTGGGGCAACTGATGGCAGAGGGAATCCCTCCCCCCACCCCCCGACAAGAAACCAGCTGCTCACCACATCTAGTATTGTTAATTGTTCTGCCACCAGCTGGGGAGGGAAGGCCATGAGCTCAGGCTTCTCCTCAGCTGGACCGTTCTCACTGGTCACATGTCAGGGGCACGAGGCCTCTGAGGCTGGAGCTGGCTCTGTATCTACTTTCAGAGGTGGAGATGAAATTCTGAATGTAGCTGAACGTCCAGCTGACTCCGGCTCGGGGCTTGGCATTTGTGCCAGAGCTGATGTTTGCTCTTGCTCCAATACTGGAGCCTTTGATGGTGGCTCCATCACTAAAGGCGGTAGTAAAAATAGAGCTGGATCATGCTCTAAATCCAGAGTTGGCCTTTGTTCTGACTTTGCAGCAGGCTGGGGCACTGGAGCTGGCACTGAAGAGGATAAAGAGAAAAGTTCCACAATGTAACTGAGTTTCCATGTGTCTTTCCAAAAACAGGAAGGATCCTACTGCCTTTAAGGGAATACCCAGCACATGAACCCCACCCTAGATATTTTCCCAGACTGAAGTCCCCCTTACCCTCTTTTTCTGCCTCAGTGGGCACTAGATGTTCCAAATGGACCATGGACAGTGGGTCACAGTACTTCAGGTCTAAGCCAGTCAAGCTGGCGTGTATGTATGCCACCATCAGTTTTAACCAAGGATGGTGCAGGGTCTGCCAGTCCTCCTGTAAGTATTGATCTGCCCAGGTGTGCAACATGGGCGAGAGGGCCCTGGGGGAAGTCATGTGTGGAATGGAGTCAGAGGCCCGTCCTTTTTTTCCACACCATGCTTCCACATCCCCCTCCTTGTGTCTGGGCACCAAAGGATGGCCCCCACCTCACCCCCAACCACTCTGTGGCCATTTTTGCAATGGAAGGTATGGTCAGGGGCACATCTAAAGAGAGCCTTGTGAGGCCCATCCTTCCACTGACACTTGTCTCCCAAAGGGCCTGGGCATGGCCTACCCTATCTTCCATGCACATGAGCATTAGGACTGAGGTTTATGGCATATTTGTGAGCAGGCTGCTTACCACACTGATTATTCTGAGCCCCAGTTGTAGTGGTCAAGAGAGATGGATATGGACAGGGCAGGGAGCAGAAGATCGGACTGGAAACGATGAATCGCTCAGGGTCTGACTCAGCTTAGCCTTCTCTCTGCCTCCCAAGGCCTTAGGACCCCATCCACAGCTCTCTGACTCATTTTCTCAGGCGGTGGAAGCCCTCAGACCTCCGCCCTCCATGGGAATCAAACATGTGTGAGATCAGGGTACTACCAGTCCCTCCCCAGGGACTCCCTTACTATCCCATTCTGCTTCTAGGCCCAAAGACTACTCACCTTTTCAGTGGTTCTTCTGTTCCTTCCTCCACGTCTGAACATGGGAAGGAGTGTCTGTATCTACAAGAGGTCACGATGGCATCACATCTAATGTACTGAGAACACAACTGCTTATGACATCTAGTGTGACTCTCTGACTCTCAGACTAGAATTGAGGCCCAAGGATTGAGTCTGCTTCAGCCGTTGCATTATCTTAGTGTCTACAAAATGTCTGCATGTGTTTAATATATATTGTTGAATGAATGAATCTCAACCAGAACCTTCCCAGACATCTGAGTGGGACTGGAGCTCCTCTTCCTGCCCTCAGAGAGACCTCATCTGGCTACACCAAAGACAAGGACCAGGAATAGCTGGACGGAATCTCAAAATTTCTTTGCAGTTGGGAAACTGGGTTGCTTTCCATGTGCTTTCCAAGCTCACAGAAAACACAGGCCAGGGAAGGGCAAGGCAGAGAACTCTTTCACTAGGGACAGAGAAATAACAAACATGAAGATGCCCAGCATGTCCAGCAGTCTTATCTGCAGAGCAACGTACCAGGTAAGCACCTACCATGGGCTTATTATCCCATGATTGCCTACAATAACTCTGTCATGTTTATTCTTTTACCACCCTACTTCTCAGAAGAGCAAAGTGAAGTTCAGAGAGGTATGTTGACATTCCCCAGACACACAGTTAGTAGACAGGAGACTCACCATAATGCCATGGAGGGAGCAGGCACTCACCTTTTAAAAAAATGGCCCAGGATGTGTTGGGAGCTGGTGAAGGCCTGGTAGGGGTCCAGGAATGTGGTGATGTAGGAGATGTTTTCACTTGGGTATGCTGGTACCAGGGACTCTAACATTTGAATTGTGCCTTCCTGGAGCGTCTGCATTGTGCAGGCCTCATCCAGACACAGTGTGGACTCCTTTTCACACTGGTGGACAAGAGGAACATATAATCAGCAGCATCACCATGAGCCACCGGGAAGATCAGGGTCTGGAGCTCAGACTGGAAAGTCCCACCACCTCATGAACTTGTGCAAGAAGAGGGACCTGAGTGCCTATACCATAAAATGTTCTAGGCTTTAAAGGTACATTTTCCATATGATCTCACTCATATGTGGAATTTAAGAAAGAAAACAGGTGAACATATGGGAAGGGAGGGTGAAAGGAGAGAGGGAAACAAACCATAAAAGACTCTTAACGATAGGGAACAAACTGAGAGTTGATGGAGGGATGTGGGTGGGGGGGATGGGCTAGATAGGTGATGGATATTAAGGAGGGCACTTGTTGTGATGAGCACTGGGTGCTGTATGTAAGTGATGAACCACTGAATTCCACTCCAGAAACCAATATTGCACTGTATGTTAACTAAATACAATTTAAGTTAAAAAAGGAAAGTTTTTAAATAAAATAAATAAATAAAAGTGCATTTTTATTTGGGGGGAATGATAAATAATTGATACCTCCAAGGCATTTTGTTAGCTGAAAACCATAGCACCTCTCTGTATTAACATCCTATATTAAGAGGATTATCCCAGTGAGTCATCAACAAACTTGCCCACTGTAGATACTGGGAAAGAGAGGATTAGGGATTTCATATGGTTGCTCAAGATCATGCACATCAGAACTGAGAACCATTTAAAGTTTGGGTTGCGTGACATTTCCGCTAAATTACCTGAGGCTTGGTCAGCTCCTGACAGGGACAGGAAGGATATGGAGTAGCCACATTCCTGGAATGGTCTCAGGTAGTTGCCAGATTTGAGTCTGGGTTCTGGGCCCACCCCAGTCCTGGCTGTGGTAACCTGTAACCTCCTCTGTGCCTACACTTACCCAAGACCAATGTCGGCCCTTCTTGGTGTCCTGGTGCATCTGCCCCTTGTCTAAGGAGATGGAGTAGTTGAACCCACCAGCCAGCTCCTCGATGATCTCCTGGTTTGAGTTCTGCAAAGACAGTGCCTAATAGCTTGGCCAGGAGGAATAAAGGACACGTTTGGACATTGCCACTGGGGGATACTCTCAAGAAAAAATCTGTTCCACAGTTGGGGCAGAGTAGGGCATCTGCAAAGAACTCTACCCAGAAAGGAAACAAGATAAAACCTGTAGGGCTCAGGATTAACATGGGTAGAGGAACTCACCTTCTCATGCACCAGCTGTGACCCGAGGTATAAACATGAAAGACCCACCAGGCTTCCAACACCTAACAATCAGCTTCTGCCCAGGAAGGACTCAACCCTGATCCCTGCCTCCTCTGTCCCCAACACAGACACACACAGACACACACACACACAGACACACACACACACACCAAACTCAACCCTGATTCCTGCCTCCTCTGTCCCCCAACACACACACACACACACACACACACACACACACGATGAGGGACAAGAGGTGCGGCGCTCTTCAGGTGGAATCACAATTTTGTCCCAGCCTGAATTGGCCTGCCTTGGGCTCTTTTGTGTTACCTTTCTTTCGGTGCCTTCTCCAAAATGACCAGATGCGTCGGGACTGATGGCTGAGCCAGTGTCTACAGCGACTAAAAAGATTCTCACTCTGAGCTTTCTTGAGCCCAGATCTTCTGCTACCAGAGAGACAACATTTAAACATCTTGCTCTCCTGACTGTCTCCAGTCAAGTGAGCTGGATAGGGGCTATCTCTAGAATGTAGGTCCTTGGTTACCACAGTTCTAAGTTCTGTTGAGGTCTATGACCAAAGAAGTGAGGTCACTTTTTGAAGATTCTGTTACCCGGGCCCCTCCTTTCAATCAGACTTATCCAAAGTGCCCTATGGGCTGTTTACTGCTCTTCCTCTTCCCCCATGCCAACTCCTTAACCACACAAAATTAGTCAAAACATCCCTCTTCACACATCCCTGAAAATGTAATGAAGATCCGAGCTTTGAGAAGACAGAGCTGAATTTGGGCCTCCTTTTTCTTACCTATTCTTTGTCCTGGGAAAATCACTGTGCCTCTCAGGTCTTCCCCATTCTCCAAACTTTCACAAAGGGGATGAGGCTAGAACCTACTTCCTAGGGACATCATCAGTTGTATCTGAGATAATATCTATTACACCTGGGGGATGGTGTCTTATGTATCTATGGCACAATTTAGTGATTGAAGAATTACAAGAAGGGGTTGGAACACCACTCAAAGCAGACCTGGGTTCCAGCAGTATAGTATTGAAAGGGTCACTTCCAACTTTGCCTCATTTTTAGGTCAGAGCCATGGGGCGGTGGCGGTGAAATTAATGTAAATTCAGATATTGTCATCCTCTGGCATAAAATTGTTCCATTATCTCCTGTTATATTTAGAATAAGACCCATGAACGTCATCTCAGCTTATGGGGTGGACTGCCTCCACAATGGCTTTCAGTGATCCCCACCCCTGGTATACATATCCCAGTGTAATCACTAAGCATTTAGAAACTGGGTTATGACCAACAGAATATAGCCAACGTGATGGGATGTCTAAATTTGGGACAAAATGCCAAAAAGGCTCTCTTTTCTCTCACTCCATCTCTTGTGTTCCTCTCTCTATGGCGCGCGCTCTCTCTCTCCCTCTCTGATTTGCTCTCTTTGTCATATCCCCAGGGAATCAGGCACTGATGCTCTGAGTTGCCCCATTAGAGTCTCACATAGAAGGGAAACAAGGGAGTGCCCAAGCTGACAGATGGGAAAGAACTCAGGCTCTCTGTTGAAACTGCATTGTGAGTTCTATGAGTGAACTTGGGAGCAAATCCTCCACAGTCAAGCCTTAGTTGAGGCTACAGCCCTAACCTTGTGATACATCCTGAGGCAGAGACACAGGTGGTGTCATGCCTGGATAGCTGGTCCACACAAATGGTGAGATATGAAATATTTGTAGCTTTAAAATGCAAGGTATTGGGGCAGTGTAGTCAGAGAGGAAATGATAACTAACACAGTCCACGAGGCCCCAGAATCTGGCCCTGCCACCATTGCCCACCCCCTCTCTCCTCCAAGGCTCCCTCCAGGCACACTGGCCACTTTTCTAAACTTTTCTGATCAAACCCACTTTTGCCTGTGAGTCTCTGTCTCAGTGGTGCCTTCTCCCTGACACACTGCTCCAAGACTTGTGCAGAGCGGCTTCCTCTTGTCATTTTGGTCTTGGCAATGTCACCCCAGTGAGGCCTTTCAGACCCTCCACAGTTCTCCCTCACAGCATCCCACTTTGTTTTCACCACAACACTTGCTCTTTCTTTTTTCACATGTCTACATTTTGGTGCTTCTTTCTATCTCCCCCCGAGACTGTAAACTCCTGGAAGGCAGGGACCACTGGGTCATTTTCAGCCCTGTACTTAGTTAGGCCCACCACCGCTCCTTAGCAAAGGGTGAGTGCTTGGTGCATAGTTGCTGAAGGAATAAATGGGAAGGTCTTGTACCCCTCCTCGTGTTTTTGAGCACTCAGATAGTGGAGATGAATGCTAGTAATAGGAGATGCAAGTTGTTTCTGGGGCAGGGGGACAGCGAAAAAGACCTCTGTATGACTCTTTGATGCTCCAGTAGCTCAAGAAATGTATAGTTGGTACTGTGTAAGTTTAAGGTGTACAGCATAATTACTGGTCATACATGTATTGTGTAATGATTACCACATTAAGTTCAGTTAACATCCCCACCAAAAAATTATGTATTTCCTTGTCATGAGAAGTCTTAGGATTTATTCTCTT